GTGTAACGATTTTGTCCACTGTGGGTCTCGGTTTGAGGAATCTCGGCTATGAGGCTCTGTGACAGAAATAGAATGGATGGGAACGTCAGGAGTTTGGAGTGGAAAGGGATGATGTTCAAATTGTGCGATAAGGAAAATTACTGCTATGACACACCAATCTTACCAATTTTGACTCTTCAGAGAGATGGTTGTCCGATCGCTAACAGTACCCTCAGCACAGGCTTGCTGCTCATGTTGACATTGGCCGCCTGGTTGAAAGCTGGAAGGAATACAAGATTGTAGAAGCCTTGTCGCGTCTCGTCGATACGCGTCTTCATCTTGATTGATCGACCCCACTTGCGCAAAACAAAGTAAACAAGCCAGCAAATGTTGCTGTGGTTTGACATTGAATTGGCGGTGTCCTTCTTGCTCGAGGCTGATGCAATCTTGGTGGACATCAGGTTCTGGACGTCGAGGTGGAATTCAATTGGGAATAGAGCCCAATTCGCGAGCACAGCCAAAGGTTCTCCGTGGAAAAGGCCAATGAGTTTCTGCAGGTGCTGTGACGCTTTAAGAAGCGACCCACCTTGAGTTGGCAGCAACAGTGATTTCCAAGTGACGTGGTCATTGTTCTTGAGGCGCACTTGGTCGGCTGCCTTTTCCATGGCCTGCGTATTTGCTTGAAACGACGTGTTCAGCATGATGATGTCCTGTAGTGAAAAGGAATTTGAGTCGGAATTAAGGATGTGGACAGAATTTAGATTTTTTAGAATTTGGTTTTGTTCTGAAACTTGTTGAAATCTCGTTGTTTCAACCGACCAACTGAAATTGTGCACACGGGCACAGTATGGGTGTCACGATGAAGATGACTTACTAATAGAATACGGACGTCGACAGCGATTTCGACTTGTCTTCGCTAAGCGGCGGCCTTTTCAGCCTGTTGTATGAAACAAGCTTCTCCTTGTCTGTCAAAGCCACGTAGTCGCTATACCACGGGTATTTCGCCACGATTGAAGGCGTAAGCTTGAGATCTCCCGATTGGGCCATGACTGCCTGATTGATCTTTTGCATCCTGCTCACATGCAACGCGTTGTTGCAGCGGATACAAATGCATTTTGCATTATCGTTCAAGTCAACTTTATAAAAAAGTGAGTTTAGGACGGTGCCAGAGTCTTTTTTACACGACTTGCAGATGGCTTTCCCGCAATTGGATCCGCCGTTTTTCTGCCCACAAACGAATTCCATATCCGCGAAGTTTTTTGTGTGATCACAATTGACACAGGTGTATTGTTCGAGGGGAACAAACACCGCGTCGAGCACAACAATGTCATCCGGCATTTTTTTGAATGAGTTGTTGGTTGTGACGACTTTATTGAATAGATTCAGTCTGGTATACGGAGATGACAGAATTAGATTTAGATTTTCCTCGCGATCTTGTTCTTCGATGATCTTATTTGCTTCAGCAAGTGTGATGCTGTTGTTCAAGCGCACCGATGACGGAGTTGTCGAACTCGGAGAGGAACAGCTGTCCAATGACAGTGTTGGGGAATTGCTGATTGAATTCCCTATCGACTTCCAGGCAATGAGCGAGCTTGTTTTTGGCACTTGTGAAGTGTTCATCTTTGTTATGCGTGAAAAATTTGTGAAACCATGAAAGACATTCAAAACCTGCTGTTTTGGTTTGTGTGGATCATGTATGAATTCTCCCTGCAGAACTACTGAATATGATATTGATTGATTACTACTTGGGATAATACACGTGTGGGACTTTTTTACGCTGCGTTTCTAGCCGGAAAAACTGAATTTAGATTTTTTAGAATTCGAATTTTGAACACACAGTCGTATATGTCGGATGTTGAGTTGATCGGTATTTGCGAGAAGTGAAACCAACATCATGTAGTTATTCAGAATGCTTCAGATTGCTATCGGTGAAACATATGCGACTTGGTCGAGAAGTTTTAGTGCCTTTCTACTTGCTATGTGCTTTGTTCTGGCAGAAGGGATCTCGCCCAGAGCACAACACGGCTCCTTTCTCTTGCAGTCGAGCCATGAATGATCCGAATTCGCGCACGATGGAAGCATCTTGCTCGCGACTCAACAGACGGGTGCCCGGTGATTCGTTAATGGACATACGAACAACTTCGACGGCACCAGTTGTCCACTGCTTAGCGTTAAAAGCCGGTGGCGGGATGTGTTCAAACTCCTTCACCCAACGCATGTAATAGTCGTTCCTCACAGCCCCAGATTTGATGCAATACGCAAGACCCACAATTACCTGCGAAAAGCGCAGATGAAGGTGAGAAGTATGTATTGGAGGGGGGGAGAAACTGCAGATGCGCAATTGGATGAGAGTTTGCAAGGGCAGGAAAGAAGTACTAACCGAAAGAATTTTCGAAACGAGAAAGTCTACAATTTCACGAATGTTGAGGGAGATGTGAGAATATGAGTACCTTCGTGCAAGCTGTCGGTGGTAGCTCTCCTTGGCACATGGACAAAGCAGCGATGATGCGCAAAATGTTGTTGATTTCGCTTGGTTCGGTGAAGGCAAGGATCGTGGAGATTGCTGCGGCTGCGTCGGGCCACATGGCGGTGTAAAACAAGACCATGTGGAGCAGTTGCGTGGATACGCCGGGCAACAGGCCAGCGCCCTTGTTGGAAAACCGATCGAAGGCATTGGATAATGCGTTGGTGATCTTGCTTGTGTTTGCCGAGAAACCACCCACAGCGTCATCTTTCCAGTCATCCTTTACCGCGAGAGCTGTGCTGGAGATAAGCTGTGAATGTGTGGTCAAAATGTGAACCAAATTACGATGTTGAAATTTGTGATTAACATGGTTGTCTTTTGTAACTGAAAACGCTGGGTGGATGTGCTATTGACTTTGTTCGAGGAATTGATAAGTGAGTCTTGTACCTCCATCTCCGGAATACTGAATCCGACGGAGGCCATTTTGTTGTGAGCTGCTTCTTTTTTGCAGGCGCGAATACAGGTGTTCGATTCGGGAATGATGCGAATTGTGCATTTGTCGCAGATTTTCGGGAGTTTGATGCCCCCTTCTGCTTGTTGAACTTTCTTGGTCTCCTTGCGAGTTGACAGTGGAGCCTTAATGAATGGAGAGACGTCCATCGCAATGTCGATTGCCGAGACACGGTTGGCGGTGTCGTTGATGTCGTCGTTTGGATTCATTGCTTTGCGGAAATCGTCGACCGCTACTGCTTTCATAGCGTCGAAGGATGAAGAGATGTATGACGGAGCGAATTCGGCACACTTCCATCCCATGGTGGCATGTACGTGATCAGAGAGTGTGTGGAGGACGTCTTGTTCAGAGCGAAGTTTGGAATCGATTTTGATGTTGAAGAGGCATTCTTCCGCAACTACGTTGCTGGTGCCGAGGATTTTCTTCCCGATGCAGGAAACTTCCGTTCCGTCACAATCTAGCATCTGCATCGATGTGACGAGAAAGGTGACGTTCTGCTCACCGGACATGGTCGTTGAAGAATAACCACCGCGAGGTTGCAGTTTGGTGTCGTTGGCGATTTTCCACTTGTTGTTCTGGAATGCGACTTGTACTGAATTCTCGGACACGTTAGGATGTTGAAGAATTACTGCAGATCCTAGCGCTAGTTTAGAATGCCACAGCGAATTGATGTGATCAATGATGAGAATTGCTAGATCTTCGAAATCATCGTTGTAGATGTGAATGTATCCTGCTACTTCTTTAGTTGAGTCGTCGTCCAAGAACATGACCGAGCAGCGATATTTGAGTACGCTACGGTCATAGTTAGTTCTACTGAGAAAAGTGACGATAACTTCTGCTGGGCGATCTTTGTACATGAGTGCGGGTGAAGTAGATGGTTCTCTGAATGAAGTCTGTTTGTCCTTCGGAGGAGACTCTAAACTGAGTTCATCTTCGTTCATCAGCGGAGTAGTAGGCAGGATCATGCTGTTGTTCGAATTGTTCTTGGGTTTCTTCGATCTGTGATCAGTATTTGGGTTTTGATTTTCAACCCCATTGGATCGCTTTGAAGCTGCTGATGGCAGAAAGCGAAGTTTTTCCATCTTGGCACGTGCTTCGGCCGTGCGAAATTCGGGATCAAGATATAGTTGATTTTTCGGAAGCACTAGTTTCGAATTTTCGACATCAATGATCGAATCGACAGAGATGAAACGTGGGTAGTGTGCGTTGATGTAGTTGAAAATGTTAAACGGAATGCTTGAAAGATCATTATTTGTCTCGTTGTGAAAAGATGCCTCAACGGGTCTTCCGAATTTGTGTGTGCCACCTTTGGTAACACTGCCGTCGAACATTAAAACGGCCGGATCCAAACCTCTACGCAGAGATCCGATATGCAGACTGACTACCACTTTCTTCCTCATCATTTTTTACCAGTTTCGTTTAACAACCCTATGAATGTGCTTGCGTCATGACGAAGAAATTCACATTTTTGATGATGAATTGATTCTGTTTCGATGTCTGCCAATTTGTACCGCTTGCTTTCGAGAAAAGAAAAGAATGAGAATGTGTACACATCGAATGAGAAAGAGAATGAGAATGAGAATATGAATGAGAATGAGAATGAGAATCACCACTAGTAATAGTGATGCCGCGTGTAGGATGCGCGGCCCCCGAGTGAATGGAGAAAACCGAAGTCCGTTCCTTCCGACGACCGACTCACTCAAACTGGCTTAGCCAGACATCTACGATGTCTTCACAAATCCATAATGTTTGATGAAGGAGAGAGTGAGTTGAAGTATGCTTCTGAGAGAAGTTGTTTGATTGTCAGTAGAAGTCGACGAGGAAAAGAAAACTACTCGTGGACTTCAACATGATTCATATTTCTAAAAAATCGAAACTCAACCACAAGAAGGAACATCAAGAAGAAGCTGCAGATGACTCGGAGTGTAAGACAGTATCTATAGTACCCCGCTGTACTTCGCCTTGACTTTGCCCACAGCGCCAAGGTATGACGTGACTTTCTGCCTGAGTTTCGCGAAGTCATTCTCTAGGAAGAAATCGAAGCGGGTCAGCGTAAGCATATCGTCATCAGCGTTCGGAGTTAGAGGAAAGCAAGCAACTCAAAGGCTAAACCTAAACAAAATCCATCGAATGAATGCCATTTGATTTCTCCACACTAAAGTCCTCGGAAAACAAAGAAAATCTTCTAGGATGCAACATACTACTTACTATTTATCAACTCTATCCAAAATTCCAAAGCATCCATAAACAGATCTTCTCCCAAGTCGCAACGCCCCCCGAAAACTTCCAGCAGAAGATTTCCTTTGCCAGCATTATGGCATGGTCTGCCTTTGTGTCGAGCAGGTCCTTCAAATCCGGGAGGAAATTGTAGAAGCCAGAGAGTGCTTCGTTCTCCACGTTATTCGGTGGCCAGATGCTGTGCGACATGATGTTTCCCAAGATGCAATCTATAATTCCCGTCTTCAAGCATGCAGCCTGTCGTAACTGCTCAAGGTCCCGACAAGCGTGGGCGCCATCAAAAGCCCAAACCTCGCCCGGCAAAGAGCTCAACATGTCCGCGTACATTCCCTCCTTGATCAGTTTAAAGTGCTCCTCCGTCCCTTGGCACCAAAACGAAAACTGGTCTTGCTTCGAACCTGGATAGTGACGAAACATAAAGACCGAGTAAGAACGTGAGATAGAACTGACGAAGTCGAGTAACAAGACGCATAGCCTCGAGCGAAATCTAAAGGAAGTGTCTTCTCAAATCATAACACTCATCAATTGGGGGGACCTTGTCTCTTCCCTTCTAACTATTTTCAAAACCGTAAGGGAGCTAAGTACCCATCGCTTTCTTGAGAAAAAGCTGGATTTGTGGATCGGCGACTCGCCCAACCGCCTTCAGCGCCTCCTTTTCAGATGCCTCAACCTCCTCCTCGGTGAGGCCGGCAGCTTCCATGCGAATGTCTCCGAATTCATCTTCTTCAAAGCCAAAGTGCTGCTCCTGCTCAAAGAGTTGATTAGAGGTTCTAGCATTGCATTCTTCAGAACCGAACGTCCCTGACTCCTGTCTTAGTGGGGAAAGAGTCAAGGATGCTAGTGCAGGACGCAATCTGGAAGCTCTTAAGTTGTAGCTGTGTCGAGTAGTCAACTATACGCGTCACGGCGTCAGACACTTTTCTCATCTTGCGATAGTCAGCGTACAAGGCGGAGTTGATGATGAACGTCGTGGCTTCCTTCTTCAAGGCCTTGTGCGAGTCTTCGAAAGCCGCAAACTTCATCGTGAGAAGCTGATATAGTGCTGCGATTCCTCGATGCTTATCGACATATTCCGCGATTGCAATACTGATCGGCTCGAGATTGTGTAGCGTCACGTCTGGCGCCTGTTGGTAGAAGTAGAAGCTTAGTTTTAGAATGATAGAGAAGCTGTCCATAGAAGTCGAGAAGTTGAGTGATTGATGTTGATATGAAAGATTCATTTAGATAAATTTAGATTACTTGATCTTAATAGTGCTAGATATAGGAGGAGTAGTTCGTAGCAGCGCCTACGATAGCTGGAAGATGAGAATCACCTGATCGTTGATGTTTTGCATCCGCCAAACATGCTTCAGCATGAAGGTGGTCAGGTCATCTGCCCTATGATGGTGCCACGGCATCATTGCGAAGAGCTTTCCCAAGACATCTGCACCGTCTTCCACGTTTCGACTCGTAGTGCTCAAAAGGCTATTCCGGACTAGCTTGCAGTACACGGCGCACATGTCTCGGATCTGATTGAACGAAGCAGGAGGGTGAGGTTTGATAACACAGAAACAATAGCTCGAGGAAGAGAAGTCTGTGATGAGAAAGATGAGGCGATAGCGAACAGCTGTATGAAGATAAAGGATGAAAACTCAAACGAATCGAAAAAACCTAAAGTCACAACAGTCAGTAGGCACTAGTACACACGTTAGAATTTAGGCATAAAAAGTAATCACCTCAGCCGTTTCCTTTTCCTCCTTGCTTGCGCCCTCCATCTCGTTGTCATCCTTCTTGCTCTCATCCGAGAAGATCTTGCCCAAATAGTCCTTGTTCCCGAATGTAGGAGAGTCCAGAAGATCTGGACTCTCGCGCTTTGTCTCCGGCACCTGCTTGTCCCGCTTCGGAGTGGATTCGGGGAGTAGCTTCTCTCTTGGCTGTACAGGCGCAGGCAGAGCCGGAGGCGGGTTCGACTCCTCCGACTCGGAATCGGATTCCATAGTAGCATGCTTCTCCGTGTCACGACTCGGCGCTTGATCCTGAGTAGAAGATGGGCAAAGAAGGAGATGCTCAAACTGAAGTCGGAGTGTCACTCAGAGAGAGTCGAATAGATCATGATCAGTCCTTTTCCGTCCTAGCCAAGCCATTACACTAACATAAGTCATAACAGTAGGAGTCTCGCTATAAATTGACGGACGTACTAGACGCAGGGAAGCCAAGGTTTCCAAAATAAAATCTAAAACAAAGAGAGTCTTAGTACGATAGCAGCCATCGTTTCGCCTCCTCCTAATGCTGGTGCGCTGTTGACTCCGGGAACATTGCCTTCGCCCACGAACTCGGTAACTCGAAACATCTCCCTGAACTCGAATTTGACCTCACCCAAACGACTAGAAGGTGGAGGAGTATTCAAGCCCTGAAACCAAAACGATATTAGAGAGAAGCACGATGAAGAGTCAACGGATGAGCATTCAAATTTAGATGCTCTTTTCTGAGCTTGATGGATGTTACTACATGAAACCGCCATAAGTATTGAGTGAATGGGAACTCTTCTGCAAATTTTCTGGCAACACAGGTCACCTGGTGGTAACGCATATATCTCTCGCTCGGCAGGATGCTCGCGTTTCTGCTCACTGCGTACCACGCCTTCATGGCTCGCGTGCCATCGGATTGCTTCTGCGCAATTTTTGCAACGAAGACGTTAGAGGATGGCAAAACTTTGCTCTGGCATATGTATGTACTGCGATTGGCTTACTTTGCAGTACAAAATAGGTCGAGGATGTTTTTGATGGACAACCAAGATGTAGTAATTTGCAAGACCATAAGCAAGGCGATGGTCTGGGGGACCAGTCTGTACTTCGTATTGTTGGCATTGTTATGCTTGTAGAGCGCCGTATAAGCCGCGCAGTGCCTGGTTAGAGGTGATGACGTTGATGAAAAGAAGATAGCTGAACTGGAAGCTGATGCTGGTGATTGAAAGACGATGCCAAAAGTATGCTGATGGGTGCTTGACGCTTCTGAAAGTTAAAACTGAAGTTTATACATTCTAAAAAAATCTAAAAAACTAAAACTGTAGTGCCACTGCTCTGGTGTCAACTTGACACCTCCTCCAGCGTCAGCACCTTCGTCGTCCTCTCCGTTAAAGTCCTTGCATCTCTTCATGATTTGCTGCTGAGAGGATTCCGGAAGCTCTGCGTACCTTTTTTTGCAGTAAGACAGCTTGTCCCTCATCCATCCTTGGCTTTCAGTGAGGAGATCTATCTCCGGCTGCAGCTTTGCAGCAATCTCACCAGAAATGCCAACGCCGGCCATCTTGTATAAGTAGCGTTTTAGTTTTCTTAATCCTAGTAAAGGTTGAAGTTTGAGTTTGTTGGATGATTAGAAATTAGAAATAATAGAAGCAGAAAAAATAGAAATTAGAAAAGTTGTAGGCGATCACTATGCAGTATTCAAATCGCAACGAGTTGAAGACGAGGTAGCAAGTGAAGCAGACAATAGATGGACAAGCACTCGTAGCAGATAAACATAAAGTATCTTTACATCGTTTGAGAAGCTTTAGAACATATCCCCGTGACGCTATCCTTCAAGAAAATAAGCATAGGGTTGCTCGAGCAAGGACAAAAAGCAACAGAGTGCTTCAGATGGCCGATGTTTCTTTCAAAAAAAACCAGATCACACGATGACCGAGGCAACTGTAGTATTGACTTCTGCGGTTGGGGACAGTCATGATGTGGCCGATGGCTTGACGTGACCGAACTTTCTGGCAAAAAAAAGTCCCGACTTTCACTCATCCAACGAAAGTGAATCACTCAAATTGCTTCACCACAAGCGCCTCAGTCAGTACCATCAACGCCATCCCCTGCGCCAGGCAGTGTCCTTGTCGACACGGATTCAACGCGCTCCTTTCTCAAATACATACACTCACAGTAGCCCTCTGACGTAGGTCCAGCGTCTCACTAACATGTCACTCGCGCGTTGAGCCTGTCGCTCCCATGTCGTTATAATGTCAGCCATTGCCACTAGTCAGCCACTATCCTGCCAATAACATGTCACTAACACGTCACTAGCACGTCACTAATATGTCACTAATTCTCACTATTCTGTCACTATTTATCACAAAAGTAGGTACGAAACTCGCGTCACTATCGCTGAAAACCCCAAAATAGTGACCATAGTGACCTGAAAACCCATGTTTAGTCACAAATAGTGACAGGATAGTGATAGGATAGTGACATGATAGTGACACGATAGTGATAGGATAGTGATAAAATAATCACTAAGCCCATGCCCAAAAATCCAAAAAATCAACGTCCTGACTCCTGCAACATACAAGCCTTATCTAATCTAATGAGGAAAACCCGTGAACTATGTGCGTATCGTTTCGAAGCTACGGCCTACTCATCTATCTTCATTCTCCTAAATTACAACTCTCTATCTGCTTATCAATTGCTTATCAACTGACTCCACCACTGCAACGACCAGAACCATGTAGCTCGAGCGTCCACCCATGTCGACCTAGTCCTGCTCGTCGAGCACCATCAGTCCGTCATACTGCAGACTCTTCTGCAAACATGCTATTAGAGATCGCACCAAGATGAATCCGCGGGCTCCACTTCATACTCGCAGAGCCCATCTTTCATCATTCAATCGGGAGGAAAGCGCATCAACTACAGACAACTAATGCACCGCAATCCTTAGCGTCAGTCTGAGGGTTTCTCGGTCTTCTTCTGAAAATCCTCGCACAAGGTCGAAGAGCTTCTGCCGCTCCACGCGGATGAACGCTCTCCTACTCGCAAACTCGTTGAAGAAAGCCGACCTCTGCATTCGAACTATCGTCCATCCCCGCAACGACTTAGATTGACCACAACTCTATCGCAGCCAGCATCTTCCGCTTCCACTTCCGAGTTGAAGCTTGGAACTGAAGCTGCCAGCTGAGCTCGAGAAGATAGCGGCTGGGAAGATGCAAGCCAGTTGCAATCTTAAGGTAAGCCTCGACTATGTCACCACTGCGCCCCGTCTTCGTCAGATGAGTTAGAGGAAGTTACTGCTTGAAGTCATTTTATGCGATGCTTCCTTCTGCAGATCACGCAAGTGAAGTTTTCTCCTTGTCCATCCATCCAATACGAAATAGAAAACAGAATCTCAATCTCTCAAGGTAACAAAGAACGAAGATGCATATCAAGCAAAGGCATGCCATAACTGATGCTGCCACGGGT